TACCCAACCAAAAAGACTGTCACACCTGAACAGGGAGGGTCCTTTTGTGCTGGGCTGACACTGCTGACCAGAAACTGTGCTGACCACACTGTTGGGGAAGAGCTGAAGGTAGATGTTGCTGGCTTCTTTAGGCAGGCAAAAGCAAGCTGTCAGACATTGGACTCACCAAACCTGGAAGAGGAATTACAGCAGCAGCCAAGAGGAGCTTCTTCTCAGAAGACTTGAGCTCATGTGTTATGTGCTATGTTTTTTCAATACAGTTGAATCCTGAGTAGCCCGTGTAAGGAATTTCTGTTTGGAGATCACATACCATATAGGTCATGTTTGTTGAGCAGTGGGTGAGCAAAGCCAGTGCTTTAAGTAAACTCACTAAGATAAAAGAGTCATCCATTAGAGGAATTCAGTCTTATAATGGAGAAGAGCTAAGACAGCTTTTTAGAATGAGATCAAGTTGGGAATGCGTTTGTTCCTCTCTTGTTGAATTCAGTGGTATACTTTTACAGGGTTTGGACTTGCATGCAGGCTCTTAGTAGTATCACTGATCCCTCTTCTCACTGTCCCAAAGCAGTTTTTATGAGTTGTTCACTCCATAGACACAAACTGAACACTGGCCATCTGTCCATAAGCAGTCCATATACATCACATAGGAATAGTTTGTTAAAATCTAGTAAACGATCAAAAAGTTAAGCCATCTGCAATGTTACTATTATCAATAACAGACTGATTCACAATATTGTTATTAATTGTAATGAGCTAAAGGGTTTTCAGAATCTCATCTTTGCTGCTCTGACTGAGGATGGTGGTGTTGTGTGTGATACTGAAATAGAATGGTCAGGATGGAATGGTTCAGATAAGACATTTTTATAAGATTAATTGATAGCTTTTCTTATCTGAACAACTAGTCTTATGACTTCCAGGATTCAGGAATATTGCCATATCTCAGACCAAGGATAAGAAGCAGTTGCTGTTGTTCAAGACATTGCTCTCATGTTCCCTACCTGCTCATGCTTCTTGCTGGATTTGCTCACAGCTTTCCCATTTGCACAGTGTGCTGAAATACTCTGATAGCCTCCAGCTGATGGGATGGTGACCGACAGTTTGCAATGGCAACACCCTCAGTCCCTCTAGATAAATATAAGTGTCTGCTTCCAGACTTAGAAGAAGTACGGACTAGTGAAAAGAGCATTGTGCCAGGAGTGGAACCATGGTTTCTTCCTGGCCCTGATCCTGGTGTTATGTGATCCAGGGTCAAGTCACTCCTCATCTCTACGCGTTCCTCCTTCATTCATCTTTTCCATTTAGATTCCTTGAAAAATGGACTCCCCGTTCTTACATGGACAGCAGCAAAATAATAATATTGTTATCCTGCTAATCTTAACAATTTAAAGTGGCTCTTTTTCTAAATGGCTGAAGAACTGACCTTCAGATCTGAGTATTGTTTAGAGTTTTTGTTTTTTCTTCCCAACCTTTTGCTTTTCCACACCAAAGCTGGCCCCACACTGATGTATTTGATTATGATTTCATTGTCATTGCACTTGCTTTAATTTTGCAGCTCAGTGCACAAAGCACAGGGTCCTGTACAAACAACGTGATGAAGTCAAGCAGGTCAGCTCCTTTCTCTTTTTATCTCGAAAGCAATGTGAAACTCCTGTGTTTCTTTGGCGTGGCACCTCCAATTCTAGAGCTGGAGGCTGTGTGGCTCTGCTGCTGTCCCACCACCTTCAGGTGGGAGCTCACTTACACAGTTTTCCACTGCTGCCAGTGGGGGCACAGGAGCTGTGCTGTCTGCTGGATCATTGGGTGGAATTGCACTGTGAAGTGTGCAAAATCAATGCACAAACTGCAGTGTACTGAGCAGGTGTCCATGCCTGCATTAGGCATTGCCTGTGCTCTCAGGTGTACACATAGACTTGTCTTGCTGGATCATGCTTGGCCACTGTCCGTGAGAAAAAGTTTTTTCTTGTTTTCTGCATCTCCTTTTTGCTATTGGCAGTGTTGCTTTCTCCACTGGGATGTGGTTTGAGTGAACATGGCCTGTGTCCAGTCTTTTAAAGAAGTGCCAGGTTACTGGTTGTTGATATGAGAAAGGGAAAAGGAGCTGGGTACCTTGTTGTAGTGTGCTACTGTGATGTTGTCAGGCATTGTATCAGCATTCAGAATAAAGAGAAACACCAGGAAACACTCAGTCTTAATAAACACCAGGAAAAATGTGGACCTTGTGATTTTTGTAATTCGCACCTTGTTCCTAATATTCCCTTCCCCTGGCACTCTAAAATGCTCCTTAATCAGATCTGGGTGCCTGGACAGACTGAGGTTGAGGCTTGATGCATCAAAGCAATGCAAACCACAGCTTGTCATGTGCAACAATGCCTTACTGGACAGAGAATCTGAATTTTGGGAATCTCAAGGAATGTTTACACCTTACCATTGGTGTTGGAATTTTATTTATTTTTATTTTTTATTTATAGTTTTTCCTCAGTTTGCTCGATTTCAACACTCACTCTGAACAGATGCTGTTAAGAAATAAGTGCTGGAGCAGGAGCACAGGTTATCTGCTCCCATATGCTGCTAATTGTGGCCAGCTGAGCACAGGCCTGGCAAGCTGCCCAGTTGTGCAGGATATGCCCAGGTTCTTTCTGCACTACTTGGTGGAATGTCTTCCTGAAGAGCATCTTATAATCATAGAAGCATTAAGGTTGAAAAAGACTGCTAGAATCATTTAATCCAATTGTCATCCTACTAACTCCTTCAAGTGGACTTTTCTGTTACAATGGAAATCAAGCTGTAACAGCAGATAAAACAAGAACACAGCTGAAGGCTAATAAAATAAGAATTTAAATGTTGAAAACCTTTTCAGCAATATTCTTCATCTCTGGCACTATCAGATTCCTTCGTTTTGCTGCCACTGGCAGGAAGGGAAGTTCTGTCACTAACAGTAGTGGGTGTAAAGTTTGTTAAAGCTGAATCCTTTTGTTACTCCTGCATTGCTTTTTACCAAAAGTAACTTCCTATGGTTCTTCAGGGATGTATTTCTAAGAGGAAAGGCTGAATGATTAGCTGTCTCTTCTGGATAGGAATACAGCCAGCCATGGTCTGCATGTTTTCCCACATCCTTCTGTGCTCCCTGGCCAGGGGCCAGATGAGAACCTTCTCAGAGCAAGGTCACCACCAGGGCTCCTTGCATCCATTTGTTCTATCCTTCCCCTTTCAGCCTAGCTGTTAGTCCTTGCGATGAGCAACATGTTTTCTTCTTTGAGGTGCTTTTGGTAGCTGTGGCTGTGGCCAGCTTCAGCCTTTTGCTTGAAGGTTGGGAGAGCAAACAAACCATGGATAATGCCAACATGTCAGCTTCTTGTCCAGCTGCAAAACCAGGGCTTGGCCTGCAACTGGAATCTTAACATCATCTTGACACATGCTGCAGACAACCTGCTATAAGATTTGTCTTCGCATAACTGGCAAATGATCCTTTCAAGTGTACTGTCTAACATACAAGGCTATTTGTGTGCTTCCATCTATTCATTTCTACCTGTTGGAGATGAGGAAACTACTAGACTGTACTAGACAGAAAACTGATTTTTTTCATCTTGTGTCTTCCAAGGACTATTTCAGTTCTATTAAAAATCCGTACTGGTTCATTTAAGCTCATTGTTCATGACATCAATGAGTCCTGAAAGAAAACTTGAGGCTTTAAAAAACAGAAAGGAACCTGCTATTACAGGTGGTCTGTGGGCATGTTCTGAGATGGCTCACAGGCAAGGTCTCTGATATTGTCTGAGAGTTTCACCCCTGATCATCACCTTTCCGCCATGCCATGTTTACAAGCTGTACTTCCTTAGCACATCCAACCTCTGAGACACATTGGCTGCCCCACTGGTGTTGCCCTTGGAGGTTCTGGACTGACATTGCTTGTCAGAAGAGGTAACCTCATTCCTCTCAGAGCCCGAATAAAGCACAGTTGGGGTTTGTTAGTCAACCAGTGTAGGTGTGTAACTTGAACCGCTGATCTCCTCAGGGTCTTTCTGATCTTACTACATACAGGCAAATGCCAGGAGGGCAGATTGCCCTCTAGAGAATCCACACTTCCACTCAGTGCAGAAGAAGCCTAGGAAAGCTATCTGACTAATTCAGCCCATCAAATGACATCTAGTTAAGCCTGATAAACGACATGATTAAATTTGAGTGGTATCAATACTTACCTTATTCTTTGACATGAAAAGATGGCTTGCTAAAGCCAGGATGCTGTGTTATTGGGTAAAACAGTAAAGCCGTCTATTGAATCAATGTCAAATATAACTATTTAGATTTAATACTGGACTGGAGTTAAATAGTCACACTTAGTAACCATCAACACTCAGAGTTTGCACAGAATTTGCAACACTTTGCAAATTCAGCCTCTGTGGCTGTCTAGCTGCGTATTCTAACTAAAGAATTTGTCCAAAGAGAAACTGATATATTTCTTAGGGGAACTCCTGGCAGTGGGGAGTTCCCATCATGTGATGGTTACTACTCTTAGCTCCCAGACTAGGCTTTGTGTCAGACAAGTCTATTCATGCATTAGCGATAGCTGAATAAGATGTGCGTTCACTTATTTCTCTGCATTTTGCAAACCAGTATTTTAAATTAAGCTGAAATCAGCAGCAATTTACATTAGCAAACAGGCTGTAGGTTGGGTGGAGGCGTGAGTATTTGTGCTATTCAGCTGTCCTTGCTGCTTGGGGGGATCTCTAGCAGAAAGGCATGAAAACGGATGTGCTTCAGCCTTCACTGGAGACAACCCTAAGGATTGGCTCTTACACAGGGGATGCTTTGATGTGGATCTGCACAGCCTGATGTTTGTACTAACTCTGTTTCCCGCATGGTAAGCAAAGGGAATTAGTTCTTCTATATGTAACAGTACTTCTGTGAACAGCTGATGGCTTTGGGACAGATCTCTCTGTAGATGTATTGGACAGCAGGACCAGTGGCACTAAAAGTGTTTTCTCCCCATTTGCCTTTTGTAGGTATGTGCTGTGACAGAACAGTTGTATGTGAAGAAAAGCTGGAGTGGAAGTCACTGGCAGAGGATCTTGCACTTTTCAGCTGCGCCTGAAGAGTTCAGCTGACTGCGGTGAGCAACCTGCAGGAGGGGAAGGATCTTGTCACCGTCAAAATATCTAGTGCTTGGAAAAGCATCGAGCTCCGAGTGCTACTTTGTGGTAACTCATGGATGCATTTGATCCTTGCTGGGGCAAAAATATTTTAATTTTTTTTTTTTAATCTTTGGATATCTTTCTCATTTCCTGTCTGCATTTGTGATGTCCTTTGCTGTTGGTTTTGATGTTGATACCAGTAAGTACTTTGTGCCTTAGTCTATGTCAGGAACACATGGTACAAGTTAAATTTTGGAACTGCATTGAGAGTTAGGGCTTAGGGTAAGGTCCAGAGTTTAGTAATTGGCCTTGAATGGGTTATTAATCTAAATTTAGTAGCAGTGCATGTGTGCAAGCTTTAGACTTGGTCATGGCTACCATGCATTGAATTAGAGGATAGCTTTGGGTTGTGGCAATATTGGGCTGGATTAATTGCTTCATCTGTAAGACACTGGGCTAGGTTTAAGAGAATATCAAGATTCATAACACGGCTTTGTGTTGATTTGGAGCAGACATAAGCTGTTGGGCTGGGATCAGGGATCAGGACAAATTATTGTGTTGGTGACATAAGATGAGGTCCCCCAGGGGCTACTGGGCTAGATTTGGGGTTATTACCGACAGGACAGCTACAAATACCGGTGAAGATGATCTTGCTTTTCTTAGAAGAGATAGTTTGATTACTATTTTCTCTAAGATAATGTGCAGGATTGGTTGAGGCTTGACAGTGCTGAGATAGGGTTTTGAATTTTTTATTTGCTCAAGGCTAAAGCAACTCAGTCTTTGAAAGCTCTGTATTGAAGTAGAAGTTCCAGATGCAGTTAAGGCTGAGGCTCACATGTCAAGCATAAGACCATTGGTCTCATTCCACTTAGTTATTTCCCCTTAGTTATTCTGATATGGATCCTATTTGTGGTCAGAAAGGCAAAGGCCAAAGCAGCAGTTTTAGAAGACTGAATCTCTGGTATCCAAGAAGTGGCAAATACAGTTCTTTGAGGCTGTTTTCTTTTTCTTTTTTTTTTTTTTTCTTTTCTAAAAAGACTAAGAGCATCAGAGGGCAGTCTCTTCTGTCTCTCCTTCTCTTTTTGTCTATATGGGTGCTGCAGGCATCTCAAATTTCAGCTCTGTATGACATCTCAATTCCTTCCCACATAACACTGTACTGTCTCTTTCCTTCAGTGATACAGAGCCCCTCCAGTTACAGGGGAGGAAAGGAGTTTGCATAAGCCTCTACTGAACATGCAGAGGCTGTTGTCAGCCTGACTGTGCTATTTCTTTTAAGACCTAGTGCTCTCTGAGGGATGAAAGCCTGTGCTATTGAAAAGAAAGCTAGAGAACCTTTTAGAATGTATCAAACTGAGTTTTCTGTAATTTTCCTCCTACTGCCTCAAAGCAAAATTGCAGCACCCTGCTGTTGAACTGACACAATTACTAGCAACAAGAATATATGTTATTCTTGTAGAGCTGAGCCATTTTACACCAAATCTGAATTTGATCCTGTCCTTTGGCTGCCAAAGGGCTGTCTCCCCTTTATGTTTTTGCTTTAAGAGAAGGGAACTCCGTACTGAGTTTTCCTCCAGGTGGAAATATGCACTATGTTGTCAGGCATTTGTCTGGAAAAAAGCATCTCTAAGAAGCCTGGATTGTCACAGATATCGCGGGGAGCCACAGAGCTTCCCTCTATGCTCAGTCCTATGGCCATTAAGTGATATTTAAGGCATAGCACACCTGTGCTTCAATGAGCACCACAGCATTCAGTACTTATACTTGGTTAATCCACATAGAGATTTGGAGGAGGATGGTTTAATCTAACCTCAGTTCCTGGTTACATGGAGCTTTTAATAGCTTTTTTTCTTATCCTTTTATGTGAGAGAAAATACTTGCTTTTTTGTAGTCTGAGTCTTCCTTTTGCCAGAAGCTTACGGGAATGAAGAGAAGTACTTGTACACCGTGCTATGTTGTGTTTGTTTTTTAGGATCTAATTAGGACACCATGTTATTTTTTAACTGCTATGTACTATGCAGATCAACTGTTCAATTGAGACCTTTAGCTTAGACGTCTGGCTGAGACACAATTGCAGCCCTGACGAGTTGGACCAAAGGCAGAAAGAGGAAAAAGTACATATATAAATGATGTGAATAGTTTATGAGGGTGTTGGATGCTAATGGGTGAGAGATCTCTACCTCAGCACAGCTGTATGAAAATATTTATCTAGCCAGGCCATCAGGAAGCAAAGTAAGTCTAAGGGAACAGTGAGGAAATCCTGACTATATCTTTTGCTTTCTTAGTGGAGGACCTAGGTATGGAAATGCTACTGAGTCCAAGGCTGTCTAGCTGATCCATTCGTTTCTCTCTAAAAGGAGAGAAATTACCCATACTGCATGCAGAGAAGTGCTGTAGAGATTGCTAAAGATTCCTGTGCTCACTAGCGGCTGTGTTTCCCAGGGCTTGTGGGTCAGTAGTTGCTGTCCTCCCAGTTCTCTAATTCACTGCTTCAAGTGAAAGGTGAAGGTTACCCAGATGGGCTGCTGTAAGGTGCATCTAGTCCTTTCACTCCTTTGCCTGGAGACAGAGCAGGGTGACTCCTAGAGGAAGGTGTTGCACAAAACATTGTTTTGGCTTCAGCTGGTCACACCACCTGCCCATTGTGGACTATAAAATAGGTTGAAACAGTGTAGTACTGCACATAAACCAGAACAGTGAGAATGAGTTTGTAGAAAGCAGGAAAACAGTTTTATTTTTTTCTGTTGAACTTTTGGAAACAGATGGAGAGTTGATGAGGCAGAGATGCTGGAAGGGACAGTGTGTTTCAAATTTTTTCCTTAATTTCTTCCCAATCTGTTCGTAGATTCATAGCTCTTGCTTATTTGCTACAGGGGAGTTAGTGTAAGACACGAAAACTTCAGTTCCCCCAGGTCTCCAGAGGTAGGTGCTCACTAGAGGCTGTTGGGTTGTTGTTTTTCACCTAAGAGACTTCTGACATACAGGATTGTGGGAGCAGCTCATGGCCTGATGGGCAAGATCTTTTCTTACTTCGTTCCAAGTTATTACAGTGAAGGGTCTAAACTTCCTGGAGAATGATGACAACTCTAGAGTGTCTTGACAGAGTCCTGTACTGACACTAACAGGCCAGTCCTGCCTCTCTAAATAACCAATGGTTGTTTTTTTGTTTTTTGTTTTTTTTTTTTAATTTATTCAGAAGCCAAGAGGAATCAGAGCTGAGCAGTGCACCTACCAGCAGTCATTATCATTCCTTAGTCATCCAGTTACTGTTTCTCTCTCTGACAAGAGATATTGGTGTGGTGGAGAGGATGTGAGGAAAGATTGGCTTTTCTTCTAGTCTTCTTGGAGATGTTTAAGTAAATTTCCTTGCATTGAACATATATTTGGGTGTTGCCCATAGAGGACATATGTAACTTTAGTGATGCCTTCAAATCATTGTGGAAGCCAGAGCTGGTGGGAGAGGAATGGGTGAGATGGGATTGTTAAACCTTTCTTCACTCCCAAATGCAATGACTTGCTGTAAGATCTGATTACCTTTTCATTAGCTTTCATAGTTACAAATGTATCTGGTTGATAATCCCAGACAGCTGGCTGAGTTAGTCAAATCCACATTTCTCCTCTGCCTGATGTTTCGAGTCTGGATATTTATTAATTGCATATACAGTAAGTGCTGCAAGCAGGACTGCTGGGACTTTATTTCTGTGAATGCACAAACTTCTCTGCTGGAAAACATGTTACCTCTTGGCTTATAGCTTGTTCCTGGAGGACAGAGGACCAGAGAGCAGTCTGATTTTATATTAGATCCTTTTAGTATTTAAAAGGGAGATACAGGAAAGAGGGGAACAGACTCTTTAGGAGGATCTGCGGTGATAGAATAAGGAGAAATGGTTTCAGGCTTAAAGGGGGTAGATTTAGGTTGGATGTAAGGAAAAAGTCTTTTATAGTGAGAGTGGTGATACACTGGAACAGGTTGCCCCGAGATGTGGTGGAAGCTTCGTACCTGTAGTCATTGAAGACCAGGCTGGACCACACTGTGAGTAACCTGATCAAGCTGCAGGTGTCCCTCTTCACTGCAGGGGATTTGGGCTAGATGGCCATTAAAGGTCCCTTCTAACTCTAAGGATTCTGTGATTCTATATTGGCTTGTCTTTAGCAAGGGTGCAGAGAGGTGCATTGCAGGAAAATACTGAGATGAATAGACAGCACAGTCTGAATTTTCTTTGTGGCTGCTTCTCCTAATTCCCTTCTTTACTGCTCTCTTATCTCTTCTTAAGCCACTGTTATTAGAATAGCTAGTAAGCTCAACTGCTTGCCCAGAGACTGACAAATATTTAGTATTTTGAGCATTTAAAAAAGTGAGTGAATTTTACCAAAAACCAGCTTATTTGCATGATTTTCTCCTGATTGTACCTTAAGGTTAATTCAAGCCTCTACAGCACAAAAGTTGGTAACTGTTGATAATAGTTGGTAAAACGCTGGTAAACAGCTAATGCCATTACAAAGCTTTTATATTGATTAGGTTTATTCAGTTACTTTCACTGCCAGGAGTGCCTTTCACTGAATTACAGACTGATTGGATCACTAAGGATCAGATATTGGTAAGCTAAGCTTGTTTTAAGAATTGTCATCTGTTGTTTTCTGTATTAGTGGAGCAGATCGTGCAGTTACTAGACAGTGTGCACCAGGAGATTGATGAACCTAATCCAGGAATCACACTGTGCAGGCTTTACTTCTGTTTTACCTGAGTATAAGTGGCAATGCTGGGTGCAAAGGGGTAGAGTTGCTGGTGTGCAGGTGAGGATGTATGTTTCCTTGACTGCATGGTGTAACTACCAGTAGTTTCGTTAGGACTTGGATAAGCATGACAGTCCTAAGTTTTTCCTCCTGCAGTATTATTTAGCAGGCCCTTAATTTTACAGAATTTCCTGGACCATAGACAGCAACTGTTCAAGGTAGGGCAAGGCTACACTTTTTGTTA